GAACTAAAACGCACTCTCCAGAAAACAAAGATGTCAGCACCAGGAATATATCAGATCTGTTATATAATGATAAACCAGATCAGTGAAACTTCAAAGGATATATTACTAGAACTATATAATAAAATGTGGGAGGATGGGAAACTGCCACAGAGCTGGAAGGAGGGTGGTATAGTGCCAATACTATATTAATAATATATTTGCAAACTAATGGAGAAAATGATCCCCTGATGGATCCAGCTGTATGTTTAGAGCATGAAATCAGAAAAGCACAAGTAAACAGAGAAAGTGTAGTGGCTGTCTCCTTTGACATAGAGAAGGCATGATGTGATGTGGAGAGAAGGATTGTTAATTAGACTGTAAATAGTATATATATATATATATAGATGGATTAAGAGTAGGGAAGAGTTATTAAAGAAAATATATTGTTGAGAACGGAACACCTCAAGGAAGCTGAAAACAAGGGAATAATCCAAAATCAGAGCAAGGAATCCAAAATACAGTGGCAGGACTGAACACTCAACATAAGACGACGACACAACACAGACAGAACAGAACTGAGGGCTTAAATACACAGGCAAACAAGCATTGAGGGATGGACAGATGAAACACATCAGGTGATCAAACAACAGGAAACAAAGCTAGACAAGGACACATGAAAACTGATCACTACAACATAAAAAATAAAGCAAATGGGAACACATAAGGACAGAGTAAACAAAGTAAAACAGAAAACATGGAACGACTACAAACAAAAGAAAACCAGGGCAGGAAACAGAGACAGGACCAAACAGGAAAGAGGACTACACTAAAAATGGAGACATGGGACTAAGGACTAAACACTAAGACATTAACTAAGAACTAAGATAAGAAAAGGACAGAGACAGGTAAAGACTAACATAAATTAAACAACTAAACATAAAAATAAACAAGGCTGCACAGAAGAAACACAAAACCCCAAACCATGCGAGCCTAAAAACAGGAAAAATATTCAAATGAAACCAAAATCCTAACATAAGCCCTTTATTATTCTCCATAATAATAAATTATGTTTTAAGGGAAATAGAGAATGGGATGGGGTTTTCACTTTCTGCGGATGACGGGGCGATTTGGAAGAGGGGAAGAAATCTGGAATTTATTGTAAGCTACAGGAAGCTATTACGGAAATAGAGGAGTGGTCGTATAAATGGGGTTTTAAATTATCAGTAGGTAAGACAAAGACAGTGACAGTGTTTTACAAAGAAAAGAATTGGTAGTGAGGCAAAACTAAAGTTACATCATCAAGAATTGGAAAGAGTGAAACACTAAGTTTTTGGGGTTATGGTTTGATGAGGGAATTACATGGGGTGTACATATTCAGAAAGTATTGGACAAATGTAGGACGGTACTAAATGTTATGAGGCAATATATTGTGGATTATTTAGATCAGTATTAGATTATGGTTGTGTGGTGTATGGAAATCAGAAAGTTAGATCATATTGAGTTTCAGGCTTTCAGATTATGCACATGGGCATTTAAAACAACTTCAACAGCATCACTACATGTTGAAATGGGAGAAATGCCACTAGATGAGAAGAATACTGCTATCTCTGAATTACTGGGTTAATTTACAGGGCCACAGTGAAGATCACCCAGCACAAGGCACTTTAAAACCTTGTTGGGAAAAGGAGAGGAGGGAGACAAAAAGCTTTGGGTGGACAGTTATACTGAAAGCAACAGAGCTAGAATTAGATTAACTTCAGTCCAACAGTACCATTGCCAGCAGTACCACCTTGGGTACTCCCTGAAGCCACAGCAGATCTTACACTATTAGAAAAGAAGAACGAGGAGAACGAGGATAGGGAGTTTATTTTGAATTCACATGCTATACAGGCATGTAGGCCTATTAATAGTTACCACAGTTACTTCCAGATCTACACAGATGCATCACAGAATAGTTAATAAGATAGGTGTAGTTCCAGAGTTTCTTACAATAGGGAAGAGGATTAATGATGAAGTATCAGTATACACAGGAAATAAAACCATTGAGAATGATTATTTGTGACAAATACGTAAACATGACTCAGGCAGGTGTGAAAACGGTGGGCAACAAGAGACAGTCAAACACGTCATGGTACACTGTATGGTAAGTATGAGGGAAAGAATTTTGATTAGAATAGAAATTCTTGGAAAGAACTCAAGAGATAAGTGCTACGGCATTGTTTTTAATTATCTTAGCGTAATTAATATGATTGAGATGATCTGAGTCTTATTTTTATTTTTTTTGTTTTTTTTGTTTTGTTTTTGTTTTATTTTGTTTGGTCTAAAATAAGAAGTCATTCTAAACCACGCTCCATACCAGCTGAGTAATGCACCATTTCGTTGTGTGCCAAACGTCAATAAAACTCAAAGAAGAGGTGAAGCGGACCAAAAGACCTTCAAACGCTAGACATGATGCGGCGACCCAAAGAAATTCAGGAACAAATGAGAAACAGAGTCATTGAAATACACCAGTCTGGAAAAGGTTATAAAGCCATTTCTAAAGCTTTGGGGCACCAGTGAACCACAGTGAGAGCCATTATCCACAAATGGCGAAAACATGGAACAGTGGTGGACCTTCCCAGGAGTGGCCAACCTACCAAAATTACCCCAAGAGCACAACGATGACTCATCCGAGAGGTCACAAAAAAACCCAAAGCAACATCCAAAGAAGTGCAGGCTTCACTTGCCTCAGTTAAGGTCAGTGTTCATGACTCCACCATAAGAAAGAAACTGGGCAAAAATGGCCTCCATGGCAGAGTTCCAAGAAAAAAAACACTACTGAGCAAAAAGAACATAGGCTCAGTTTTGCCAGAAAACATCATGATGATCCCAAAGACTTTTGGAAAATACTCTGCGGACTGACGAGACCAAAGCTGAACTTTTTGGAAGGTGCGTGTCCCATTACATCTGGTGTACGAGCTCTCTTAGCTTGGAGGATCTGCCTTTTTTATGGGTTAGGGTTAGAGGATAAGATGCTAACCCATCTTTGATTTGAGGAGATATTACATCCCCAAAAATAGGTTATCTTTTTTCTGGATGGGAATGATATGGATGTTAGCAAGATGCTGCTGCCCATATTTTTAGTTTAAAGAATGAGTCTTGTATTTCCTTTAAATGACAAAACTGCACTTTAAGAATAATTAATTTTCTCTCTTGCTCTCTCTCTCTGATCGTCTGTGTTATTTAATTGTAACTTCTGGATTTGTGTAATGTCAAGCACTTGCTGTCTTTTGTATATTCAATTATGTCAAATGTTTGTTTTCATTTAAAGTTTTAAAGTTAAAATTATGCAACAAAACTAACAGGAGTGTGTTTGTGTGTTGGTGAGTGGGGGGTGTCAATTAAGCACAGTTTGAGGTCTAATCAGGAGGAGAACACCTGTGTGGCTTGACTTTATTCACTAATATTTTAATCTCTAGAATGTTGCTTATTGACAGAAATAGTCATATGTTTCTGTACCTGATGTGGTATACCACATAATTAAACGTTATCCAGTAAGGGTGTGTGGTCTCATTTTACTGGCCCTCACATGAAATGTTTTGAACTGATTTTCATTGATGGTTATTTATAACTATCACTGACTCTAGGGGAGAGGGAAACTATTTTTGAGCACCACTTTTATCACTGCCTGTGGCAGGGTATACTGTACTAAAAACCTTCCAGTGTAAACATACATTAAGTACTTGCATACACTGGGCTGGTGGCCAGCAGCAGTAGGCCTATGTGGCTTTTGGCCAGAAGATGTCACTATACAATAAGAAACAAGGTGCAGTCATCTATAACAAACTGTGACTGTTGAGATTACTCATAAACTGTATATAAAAAGGGATTTCTCTATCTAACGCAATTTTAGTTCCTGGTTATTAAGTGTTATTTCCTAATAGCTAATGCCTCAAAAGTATAGGAAATGGCTATTATTCCCCAGGACAGTGATATTTCAAAATTTACCTATTTCTAATGAGAAAACAGGGAATTGTTTGTTTTTTCATTCACATGAATTCAGAAAAAAACAACATGAATCCAAATGAACATGTATTTATACACCAGCTTTATACACTGAACAAAATTATAAACGCAACACTCCCCCATTCATCATGAGCTAAACTCAAAGATCTAAGACTTTCTCTATGTAAACAAAAGGCCTATTTTTCTCAAATATTGCTCACAAAACCTGTCAATCTGCGTTAGTGAGCACTTCTCCTTTGCCGAGATAAGCCATCCACCCCACAGGTGTGGCATATCAAGATGCTGATCAGACAGCATGGGGATTGCACAGGTGTGCCTTAGGCTGGCCACAGTAAAAGGCCATTCGGAAATGTGGGTTAGATGTTATTTTGGATTCATATGTTGTTTTTTTGGACTTTGTGTGAATGAAAAGGCACAAATTCACTGGTTTTCTCATTGGAAATAGATACATTTGAAAATATCACTGTCCTGGTCTCAAAAAACAAAGTTTGGGGAGATAAATAGCCATTTTCTATACTTTTGAGGCATGTGCAATTAGGAAATAACACTACCCGGGAGCAATAAAATTAACTTGTCACACAGTGTTATTGATATCCCTAATACATAGCTTACTAATGAGGTTGATTCTGGTGTATATATAAATATTTTTTTCTTACTGATGTATGGAGGTAAGCATATCAACTGTTCAGGGAATCATTTCAAAAGGGGTCTAGGGTCCCCATTGAAATTTGTATAAATGTTTATCACATCATAATCTTTTCATTAACACTTTTAAACATGTGTGATATATGATGGCAGTGCCAAATCATGGTAATAGTCCACTCAGATGAGGTTTAAATTAAAGTATGACCCTACATCTAAAAGTCTTAAATGTCTAGCTTTGATCCAGCTATTTGGAGCAAGGTTGTGAGTCCCTCTGGTCTCTCTGACAGGCTCTTATTTTGAAGTGAAGAGTGAGAGTCTTTTATTTTGAAAGCATCGTGTCTCCAGCTCTTCAGGCACAGAGGGAGGGAGGAAGAGAGGTAGACGGTAGATACCGGACAGACACGGTACCAACAGCGGTGAAGTACAGCGGCAGCGACAACTATGAGAGGAGATAAGTTTACAGGGTGAGGTTGGCTGGTTGGCAGCCGTTGTCGCATTCTCGGAGAAACACCGCAAACCGTCGGACGTCGAGAGGTCGCGGGACAGTCTGCGGTCCTGGAGAAATAACTGGTGGACACATACACACGCACACACGGTTTCTGGAGACAGCAGCAGCAGCAGCAGGAGCAGGGCGAGTGTTTTGGCGGCGGTCCCGCTGCTAGCGAAACATGAACAAAAACCACCGAGTGCCGAGCAACCGATCTCTTGGTGCCGTGGAGGTGAAGAGCAAGGTAGCCTAACGTTCCATGGATACTTCTTTGTCAGTTTACTTGCTGTATGTGGAGTCTTAACTGTCCCTATGACGAGCACTCTGGCTAATTTAGCCTGCTAACTGCCTTGATAGTTCAAGTTATGGTGTCGCACAAATTACAAGCTACAGCTTAACACACGCCAACACAGGGCTTCTTAGTCTGACTAACTCGCGTGTAGCTCGCCATACTTGAAACTTTGATTTTAACCGTGGCGTAGTTTGATTCTAAGTTGATGTGATAAGTTTGCTAGCTAGCTAGTTAAGTTTTTGAAGGTGGAGGTTATTGTCAGCTGACGCCGCAGTGAGCCAGTGTCACCTGTCGCAGCCTCCTCCGCCCACCTGCTCATTTACCAAATATTGACTCAAAGTTTGAGTCAAGTTTTTATTTTAGCTTCACCCCGTGGGCAGTTTACATAAACAATAAGATACCTGAATCAAATTATATCGGGATGACTCATTAAGAGCTGCTTGTCCTGCTGTTTTCCCTGTGCGTACAGGTGTCCCAGGGCCTGCCTCCTGACTGGGGCATGATCACACACACGTGCTGAGGAATGGCGCTTTTTGTTGCTCAAAACTATTTTTTAAAGACTAGATATGTTGACACAAGCTGTGACCTATTTTTTTTGTTGCCTCTGTAGTTCCCATCACACAAAGTTATAACGTGCTTGGTTCAGCTCCTTCCCAAACCCAGCAGTCGTGGTCATTTGATATGTTTTGTCTAGAAACAGGCCTGTTTTGTTTCCCAGTCTATAATTGATATACTTCTGCTTTGTGCAAATGCATTAGATGATGGGTGTCCAGGTTGGCAGTGAATTGTAGATCATTTTTTGTCAGCGCTTGGCAACAGTAACCACAACACTTGGTACTTCTCATTAACACCACCAATGAGACACTGTGCTCTCTTAGTTTCATCTAAAGAAAAAGGGATCTGCAGCCATTGGTCAGACCTCACTGATTACTGCCTTACTCATAAGCGAACAATGTGTTTTGTGGGAACATGTGTATGCCTACAACACAAAGTCTTTCTTATAACTGCATACCATACATGCTGTCTGGTAGCTTCATTTGCACAATGCTCTTCAGTCTTGAACTTACTGCATCCACAAATACAGAAACCTGGAGATACACACACACATCACAAAGTCCTTCAAATTAATAATTCATCACATGTGGTGTGTTAGCTTGCTACATGGATGACAGCCACTGACATACAGCCGACGGTGGTTTTGAAATTAGCTAGGCTACCAGAAGAGTGTGTGCTTATTAGACCCAGCACCAGATCTCAGACCCTTCTGAAGAGAGTTCATTAATATTGACTGCATAGGCTTTGTACGACATCTCATCTATCTCACGGTTTCTTTGAGCTCTTAATCGCGTACTCACATGTGTATGCCTGTCTGCTCCATCCCAGTTTGGTGCAGAGTTTCGTCGGTTCTCGCTGGATCGGTCGAAGCCGGGCCGCTTTGATGAGTTCTACGGCCTCCTGCAGCACGTTCATCGTATCCCCAATGTGGAGTTGTTGGTGGGCTACGCCGACGTGCACGGCGACCTCCTACCAATCAACAACGATGACAACTACCATAAAGCCATCTCCACTGCCAGCCCTCTACTCAGGCTGTTCCTGCAGAGGAAAGGTAAGCACAGAGGAAGTGTTTGAACAGCGAGTGCTAGTTTCCACCTGTTTGTTAGGCCAGATCTGCTTTGCTATGGAAATGCAAACAAAGGTCTTGTGTTGGCTTTGAATAGTACAACTTGAAAAATGGGATAGGCTGCTGGACAGGAAAATATGGAATACATACATATTAAGCATTGTTTTGATATTAGCGTTATCAATAACTACTAGCCTATACATATTGTCCTGCAAATACAGTAAATGAAATTACAGGCAATTCAGTTGCTGTGGGGAGTAGTTAAGATACCGTAATCCTTTATTGATCCCCCCCCCCAGAGGGGAAATCTGGATTACAGCAGCACAACGACGGATATGATTACATATCTGTCGAAGTTGTGGCTGCTGTAATGGCTGCACATGACTGTAGTTTGCTAGACATTGTTTGCACATGTTTAGGGACTAGCATGAACCTGTTTCTGTCACACTACATGTATAAAGCGATGATTGGATTAGTGTTTGAAGTGCATCATCCTCGCTAATGTTACTTAGTGTGACCTGTTGAATGCAGGGGAGACCCCAGGGTCTGCTGGCCGGGGGCAGGTTGGACCGCACACTCTGTTGTGTTTAAGCTGTCTCGCTGTGCCATATGACCCTATAGAAGCTAAGCCACTTTGTCAGGAGGAGATTAGTGGGGTCACTGTGTAGCGCTGCATGGGACTGTGTTTCAATTACACGCTCCAGACACTAGCCCCACGCTGGGTTCACTGCTGCTCTCACGCACAAATGCATGAAAACACAGTCACGCAGGCAAGCATCACACATCAGTCATGCACTCGGACATGCAGTGCCTTGTAGAAAACATAGAACAATGACAGAAGACATACACACACTAATGCAGCCACAACCCCGTGCACACCCCATTGCCCTCAGACCCTGGTTTCCCTCCTGATTTGTTTACCCCCCTTTACTTTACTGCTAAGCACCAGTTGGTCTCAGCTTAAAAGGGACCAGCAGATGAAGCAAATTGGAAGATTATAGATATATCTGCAGACAATTATTATTTCTAATAATGGCTCTACAGTGAGTTGATAGCTTCTCTTTGTGAGTGAGGTATGTCAGGCGAAGGGCCAACTCAGAACCTTTTAAATACTGAACACTAAGCGGTATGTTTATGTGCAAAGTATCTCACATTATTCGGTTTTCTTGGCAACAAGATGTCAAATTGACAGCGGATGACGAAGGATTTTGTTTTGGAGAAATTGATTAAGTTCTTCACGACCTTGTTGGTATGTAATCTCAGGTGACTCACACAAAGTCTTTCATGTTATCAGCAGCAAAGGAGGACGGTCATGGTGGGAGGGTCATACTTAGTCACACCTGTGCAACCCTGAAACGGTTCTTTCCACGGCAACTTTCCACTAAACCAGTTTTGGTTTATGCACCTCAGCATATCGGTACAGAGTTTCAGTCTTACAGTCACAAGCTGGCTTATAATGCCATTCGATTACTACTATGTCCTTTGAGACTGTAACTGAGTGATTATGTAAATGTGTTAGTCAGTGGTCAGATGTGATTGGTCATTATTGCGTAAGAGCAGGACTTCAGACAAGGCAAAGTTTGTTAGAACTTGGCCTTCATGGAGTAGGGCAGTGAAATCTTATTACCGATATCTGGGAAATGGAGCTAATAAAAGCTACACTCAGTTGCCAGTCTCAGTGATTATAAACAGGTTTCTGACAGACTGTGTGTGTGTAATTTAATAAAAAAAAAACATATCTAGCTTCAGTCGATGCGTGTCATGGGAGGTTATTTTTGGCACTGCATTTCATTTCTCTGGAAGACTAAATCCAGGGTACATACATCCTGGGTTAGGTGCTCTGTGGCTTTTGTTCATTCAGTGGTGTGCAGATGGTTCGATGGCTGGATAGAGGGATGGACGTTAGGCTGTGAGTGACTGTTGTATTGTGGTCTGATTCTTGAATAATGCACACATTGTTGTTGTTTATGCATCAACACGGGTCATCACTGACCAGCCATTAATGTCGTATTGTTCACCACAGTAAAATGGGGTAAGTGTTAGTGCCTGTGTGTAGACTGCTGGACTCTGTCTGTGCCCGTCCAATACAACTCAGCAGGATTTGGGTATCCCTTACACCCCGCCCCAATCCAGGAACAATGCGGTCATGACTACTGAGCTGGCAGCGAGGTGTCCTCTGTTTACTGGTTGTCATGGCAGCATTGAAGAGGCCAGTTCATAGGTGGATTAGCAGTGCTGGAGTCTCTTCAAGGCTGATAGCAGCTGCAAAGCATGCTGGGTGCAGTGCTGCTAGTACTTTAAAAACAGGTTCAGTGTGTAATGTTCAGGAGGATCTATTGTCAGAAATTTTATATATATAAAAAAAAAAATAAAGTATATTTTGGGTGGTGATGGTTCAGTGGATAAGACACATGCCTTTGGTGTGAGAGACCCGGGTTTGAATCTGCTGTGAGACACCAATGTGTCCCTGAGCAGGGCTCCAGAGGTGTGCAACCTCTGACATATATAGCAATTGTAAGTTAGCGTCAGCTAAATGAATAAGTGTAGTGAGAGTGTAGCCGCTTTCAGGCAATTTATTATTTTGGCCGGTGGATTTTTTTTTTCATCTACCAGCCACCTTGGCAGGTGAGCCAAAATAATTAATTTTCCACCCCTGCTTCGTAGTAGTGTCCATTTTGATTTCACACATACTGAAGTTGGAAAAACAACTTACACACTGAACCTGTAATGTGTCATTTGGATGTGTCTGATATTCTCATGTAGTTGCAGCTACTTAGAGAAGTGTATGTGTCTACGCAAACCACCTGAATCAGAATCAATAAAATCTAAATGATAGCCAGCCCAGACAGCACATTATAATTCGCTTATAGATGAGCGTTGTTCAGAGCTATTTCCTGGTCCGGGCTGTTTTGCAAAGCTTGGTGTAAATGAAGAACGTTGTGGTCATTAGTCTGCTCTCAAAGACGAAGCAGTGCATTGAGGAATGTTGATTTTATTTGTGTGTGTTTTATGTCTTTGTTGTCAAATGAGTGACTGCTCTATTGCAGCTGGTTGGAGACATGGCTGTGTCACACCTGGCCTTTTGCTAGCCCCCAGTCAGTCTGCTGGTTGTTAACTCCTTGTCTTCTCACTTGGCTTGGAGGGAATCAATGGGATGATAGTACGATACTTCACAGTATCTTATAAATAATAACCAAACTTAGTTACCTTTAATAAGGTGTTGCATACTTTTTTACAGTTGAGACCTTTACCTTGTCAGTGCTTTCTGGTGGACAAACTATATAATGGTGACACAGTTTCTAAATGACCTCAAACCTAGTTTGGCATTTCTGTTGTGCAATTTCCTTATACTTATCAGATGACACATGCTCTGATACAGATGCATTACAAACTTGTTAAGCAGGTGTGGAAAAATGCTGTAAAGTTAGAATGCTTTCAAAAATAGATGACGTGTTAATAGATTATATGTAGATGTTTGAGCCAACCTACCTGCCGAGTTCCTTCAAAAACTATGAAGAATTGATGCTGGAGTCAAAGGGCGGTCACACCAAATATTGATTTTGATTTTCTTCTGTTCACTAACTTTTGCATTTTGTTAATTGATATAATCTATTAACATGTCTATTTTTGAAATCGTACTATACAGCATTTTTTCCACACCTAAAAACTTTTGCATGGTTCTGTATCTGCAGTAAGCTGATCTTGCCCATATAGTGGCCTGGCGGATTTATTGTTGTATTTCAAATTTCTTAACCAACCTTGTTATTGCAGTGTGTGTGATCAAAGTGCCTTATAAATCACTGTATTTTTGTATATTTGAGCATTGATTGATTGTAAAACATTCAGTAGAATAGCACTGTTGCTCTTGAAAATATTAAATATTAGTTGGTCATGTAGGCTTGTGGACTTGGTGTGGTATAGTTTAGGATCCAAGCAAAACTGACATCAGGGAAACTGCGAGTCACACCCAGGTTCACTGGTTGGCTTTAAACATGGTTGTCAGAAGAAATTTTCCTGGGTGTGAGTAATGCCATGTTTGCCTGTGTCATCCAGAACGTTGTTTGCATTTTTACACGCATAACATACAAAGAGTTTCCAGGTTGTCGTCCATGTAGTGGTAGCAGCGTTTCAAGCAATCTCTCTCAGGGCGTTGGTTTGTTTGACGTTGCTCACACAGTTTCAGTCCTCATAACTCTTTCACCTGTAAGGTAGAAGGGGAAAAGGTATGGTGAGGGACAGGAATGCTTGTATTTGCGTATCTAAGCAGGGACTGGCTGAGAAATTAGTAACCAGCGTGTGAGTCATCAAGCCAGAGAAAAGTACATACATGGTGTGAAAGTACAACACCGACAAAGTCTACCCACCCTGCAAGTATTAGAGCTGGATTGTGATAAGAAATGTGGTGAGTTAAGTAGTGAAAGGGAGAGATGCTGAAGGTGCACAGTGACAGACATGGGGGTGAGAAGGTGACAGCCACAGAGAGACGGATCTAACAAAAACGTCAGAGTGGCGGAAAAAAGATTTAGATGAAACATAAAAGGTCAGACAAGTGAGGACGCCACATCATGTAAGGAGGGAGAGATTTATACTGTGAGCTCGAGATGAAAGGTTTAAAGTGAAAGAGATAAAGTGCTGGCAGGTGTAATGGATGTCAACTTCCCCAAGGAGCGCAGGAGAGAAGTGTAGGAGCACGATCTGTGAAAATAATAGAATCAGCCAAAATAAAGTTTTCCACAGAGCATGAATTATTCCCTAGGATGCTGTCTGTAATGAGCGAGGGAAAGATGGATTCATAGCACCGGAGGAGGAATGCGTGGAGGAGGAACATATCTAAGGCCTAATAAGAGAGATGCAAGGATGAAAGGGAGAGTGAGTAAACAGCATTAAAAAGGGAGTAATGTATAAGGCATTGTTTGGGCAAGGCATCTCATTAGTGATGTGGGGAAAGGAGAGGGAGTCGTGTAAGTGTGATAGGAATGCAACAA